GATTGAATATAACTGTGACCCTTTGCTTGTTTGTATACTTACTATGGTCAAACAGGGAACAGCACATTCACATAACATACTCACCTAGCACCTATAGGTATCTCATAGCTGTACCCTGCGGGATCTGTACTTATTCATGTCTCGAGCATTAACAAAGCAGCTTAGTAATCATTTCCCACATTTTCTGAGCATCCAACATGACATACAGCAGTGCAGGGCAGCTTCAGAGAAGAAACACTTTAAATGCACAGACTCACACCAGCCACCCAATGAGCCAGTTCCTCAGTTGACTGTTTCCCTGGATGCAGCTTGGCAAGGTGAGCTAACTATAGGCAAGTTGAAGGTTAGCAGGTAAGATTGAGTTAGGGTGAGTAGCTACCTATAACTGGGTGCTACTGCTATGCAGGTCTTGGGTAGGCTGCAAATATGTGTGACGATTGAGGTTAGGTCAGTTGTCAGGTTATTCAGGTATGCTCATTGCTCAGGTCACATTTTAATGGACACTTGGCAAATTAAAAAACTAACATGACCTAATCTAAGCTAACCCGACTAGACCTACACAACTGCTGACTATAGGAACTAAGCACCTACCTACTTGTGCCTACATCTCATACCATGTAAAAACTCAAAGTAGAGTTTCTTGGTGGAAGATTACCCTCAGTACTTTTTATCCCAGCCCTGTGAAGAAAACTAATACTTCTAAGCTCTGAGTCACTGCTGGCCATCCACAGGAAGAAACGCTGAGACTGGGATGCCATTGTATATTGGACCAACAATCATGAATCACTATCATGAATGCAGAGGCGGATCCAGCTCAATGTTTTTTTTTGGGGGGGGGGGCAAACCATGACAATTTATCAATTTTTTCCATGCATCGTCCATAGGCGTTATGTTAAAATTATGCCGTTTGGGGGGGGGGGGAAATGCCCATTTTGCCCCCCCCCCTGGATCCGCCACTGCATGATTGACTATGAACACATCAGATGATCACATCGTTGCATGGATTGTCACATCGACAATTTTATAACAATCCTTTTTTCAAGAAATACAGTAATGATTAACATCAAAATCAACATAAAGTGGATTTAGTGATCCAAGCTTTCTCCTCCAGTTGCAGTAGCAGGAATGATCGCATGTTTCATTTGCCAAACACTGAGTACCTGATGCACATTACAATCTGCATAGCACCTAAGCATAGTAAAGCTGCCAAAGTCCATTCATTCTAGATTTTTAACTTGATAGTTAGCACTAATTTATCTTGCTGTTGTATTGTAAGTTATCATTCAATATTCATACCAATACATCAATATGCGCTCATCAGTCAACATTTTCTGGCATGATCCTACTCAGCGTGCTCTTCAGTATTGCTCCAAGATCTGCAATATTATAGCTTGTTTTCGGCCAATAAGCTCTTTTAATTTTACTTTTTTTGCTGATATATGAGCCCCATCAACTTGCGTTTATCAACCAAAATTTCATAACTTCAAGTTCAACTTGATATTGATATTGCTCAGGAGTCAGGACCTCTGTCAGCCTCCTGGATACTTCGGATTGTTTTCAGTCACATGCTTCTTAACCCTATTCCTGGCGGGCTCCGCCGGGACAAGAAACTGGCGGGGGGGGGCCGATTCGGCCCCCCCCCCCCCCTGAGATCTCGAGAACGAAGCAAGATAGCGACAAGCGGTAAACGGCATCGGATACGCACGGCCAAGATCTACAATTTTTACTAAGGTCATTTTCAGGTCAGGTCAAAGATGACGTCACAGGGGTCGAAAAAGTCAAAATGGCGGCACTAGATATGGAGAGAGTTTTTCTGGAATAACTTTCGAATTAGTCAAGATAGGAACAAACCAAGGGCATCATCGTGATCCTCTCGTCAATCCGCATCGAATGATATATATGTTGACCTCGAAAGGTCAAGGTCAAAGGTTGACCTCAGGTCACGTGACCTCGAGGTCATCATGTATATCATTCGATGCGTCTTGACGAGCTGAACACAATGAGACCATCCACGCGTCTGTATCTTGTTCCTGTACGGAGTTATTGGCCAAAAACCTTTGGTGACCTTTGATGACGTCACATGACCTCACAGCTGCCCAACAGCAAAACAGACCTCAAGGTAGTGAAGGTTGATCGTATATGAAGTCATGTATGGTATATGGGGCCATTCCGACCCGTTTTAGTGGTAAAAACAGGGAGTTGATTTTTCCCCCATTGACTTATAATGGGGAGGTCGCGAAATTGACCTGATCTTAGGTCACCGATATCAAAATTCCGAGATATACAAATTGCACATACTGGTACCCTAACTAAACCCTGAAGAGAAGAAATTGATCGGTCAAAAACTCTAGCTCTGGCGTGATTGCAAACTTTTCTGAGGTAGCGTCACCAAACCGCCTCTGGTGACCTGACCTGAGGTCAGATCAACTCAAAATTTTCAGACATGTTGCGTAGAAGCCTTTTAGGAAAAGTCAGAAAATTTGAGCTTCCTAGCTCAACGCGTTTGGGAGATATAACCAAAAAACCTCAGGGGGGGCTCCTGAGCCCCCCCCCCCCGCCAGGAATAGGGTTAAATCATGTGAAATATGATATAAGTCAATCTTAAGGGATCCAAAACATCCAACAAAAAGACGTACAAGAGCACGGAAACCACCAGATAAACTTAAAAAGCGCCTTGGAACAGAGCCAAGTGGTCCTCCATTTGTTTGTTTACAATGATTGTAGTGCTGATGTATTTTTAGGACTCTGAAGGTCGGCTTATAAAAAATGAAACGTTTTTACAAAAGTTGTAAGGCAAGTAATATTTATCTGAAAGAACTAAAATATTCAAAAGCCAAACACTATGAAATACATGAATTGGAACGAAAAAGTAACCCAAAAATCCAGCCTAATCACCGGCTCCTAAAACTGCAACAAAATCAGCACTTTTCCCCGCAACTCGTTGTCCAGACGTAAATATGCTACCTACCTAACTATGCAGAAAAAAAAAAACAGCAGGATTATTAGTCGCGAGCACTTCCGATTGCCTCAGACATCGCTCCACGAGCTGTGTTCGTTATTCGGGAAGCGTTGAGAAGGGAGCAGAAATGTGATGTGCGATTTATTGCGCATGGTAGAAATGTGACATCAGAATAAGGGAAACAAGCGCATAGGCTAGTAATAAAATCGCGTCTTTTTGTGAAACTAAAGTAACATTTCAAGCTCTCCAATAGTGAGGCAGTAGGGTACTTGCTTACAGGTATCTTAATTATTTGCAGTTCAACACGAAAGCCTGGGGTCAAGTCAGTCCGGTGACCTCAATCTAGCCAATTATAAAATGGGCTAGTTCTGAAGGTGTTCAATCACATGAATCCATCTCAAGCATACGCATAAGCATAATATATTTCATATTTTAACCACACTTCTTAAATGCTACGGTGTAACTGTTTACCATGTCCTGCAAATTTGACGTAGGCTGACCGACGTCTTTTATCAGTTCACAGTCAATTGACATCAACGGCCTTTTTTAATGACGTTCAATCAAGCAAAAATGTAGTCACTAGCCCTGAACTTAGTATTAAAGTAGATATATTTTTATTGATTGACAAGGTGCAGGTTAATTTGCGATAAATGCAATACCGACGGCTAGTGCGCTAATAACGAGCGCTAGTTTCTGCTGTATCGTTATTACTGCAACGGCAACCGCAAGGCAGCCACGTCCAATGCGAGCCGCCCCGGTCCGGCATACGGCCTTGGGTGCGGCGGCTACTGCCCCGTCGGCTCCACGCATCCGACTGACCGGCCAAGGTCACCGCTCCGTCCGCCGGGGGGGGGGCGGAGCTTAATGGTCACGTGCCTGTGACGTCACGCCTACGTACGGATAGCCTCTACTCCACTGACGGATTTACGGAGCTGATTTTAACATTACGACGCAACGACAAGTACCCTAACAATTGATATTTTGTTAAGAGACCATATTAGCGAAAATTGGCGCTTGAGCTGAAATGTGCTGTGCGAAAATTTGAAGCCAATTGGATAAATATTAAATAAATTATCGCCGAAAAACAGGGTCTCATGGGGTCTGAAATGCATAGTAGTTGGGGCTAAATGTATTTCTTAAAAGCATTAAAGTTTATCAATTACAGGCCGTGAAGGTAATATTACCAGGCTGGTGTCCTTACTGATTTGCTCATTTACCTGTTTTTACCCGCGAGTCTCATCATCTGGGATCGTGTTTGCATCTTGCGCAGCGGAAAGTATGTATATTTATTATGTTGGCCTGCTAATCTGGGAGTCAGCGAGCGTGTCATTACCACGTCGTAACCCGCGTTCTGGCGGACGTCTGACAATCTGGTGACGTCTCTATAAATCACGGTGACAGCGGGCCACTGAGCCGCGGCGGCCGCGGCGGCTGACTCACCCCCTCCCCCCCCCCCGGCGACGGGTGGGGGTGCTGTGACCTGAGGCCGTGGGGTGGGTCAGGTCCGACTGGCCGCCGGCCAACTGCCCCGCCGTCCGCGCTGCTCCGTCACCGGCCCCTCCATCGCTCAGTGCCCTCTGACTCGGTGTGTGTGTGTGTCAGACTAGGCCGAGTTGTGAGGACCCGCGGCCGATGGAAGCCCTACAACACACCGACTAAGCCGTGACTGACGTGGAGCGCGGGGCACGGGAGCCATACGATACAAAGGAAACACACGACACAAGGGGATCTACCGCTTACAAGAAACATACGACACAGTGCAGCTCCTTAGTAACGCCGAGCGGCGGGATTAGATAAAGGCTGATTCAACGTGAACATGATTTAGGAGGGCATTAACTTGATGTCGGCTGAATGGGAGTGAATGTGTTTGACTCTATGGAGTCAGATCGAAACTCAGCGCTTATAACTTTTGACCCGTTCTCCCCACAGTCTTAGATTGTCTATATTCCCATCCGTAGGGAGTGAGATGAGTGGTGTGTTTCGGTATGTTTTGTGTGTGACGCACTTTACTGACCTCCCGCCCGTCTGTCTGCTCCGCCAGGTCCTTGAGGCAGAGGCCGGACAGGTGGCCGCCCTGGTGTGCCGCTGTATGCGGGACGCCGCCACCCTGACGGTGCCGCTCGAGGTCAAGGTCAAACAGGGCGTCTCCTGGGATCAGCTGACGGAGATCCCTCAGCTTCCGGAGCTGGCTGAGTCCTGACGGCTGGTTTCAAACGCGCGCGGTAAGACATAACTCAATGTATTCCCAACTCTATTCCCGACCACACCACAGTACGCTGACCCACACAGCACTGCCCTAACTTTAGACGGCACCAAAGTCGTCCCGCTCGTGACCAACGTCACAGTTGTGTGCGTGGCGGCGTGCCTCCCCCCCCCCCCCCCCGCCACGGCCGGCACGTGCCCGATGACGTCGCCAGTGCGTGCGTCATCATGTGACAGCGCCGGGTGGCGGTGACGGCCGCGGGCAGGGGCCGCTGACCAGCCCGGCCACCCACTGACAACCGGTTAATGGTGTTTGGCCGGCACGCAGGCCACAGGTCTGTGGCTGGGAACTGGCGACGATGGCTACGAACTGCGACTGAACTGACTAGAAAAGTGCGTGTAGCGACCAGGCGAACAGAATGCGGGTTTCATGAACCCGGCCTTCGTCTCGGAACTCGTGCAGTCATTATCATTACTTGTCAGCAGGGCTGCGGCCACCCACTGACAACCGGTTAATGGTGTTTGGCCGGCACGCAGGCCACAGGTCTGTGACTGGGAACTGGCGACGATGGCTACGAACTGCGACTGAACTGACTAGAAAAGTGCGTGTAGCGACCAGGCGAACAGAATGCGGGTTTCATGAACTTATTTTTAGTTTTGGTAGAGGCCTTCGTCTCGGAACTCGTGCAGTCATTATCATTACTTGTCAGCAGGGCTGCGGAGTCGATGGATTTTTGGCGACTCCGACTCCGACTCCGGCTTTCAAAAACCAGCTCCGACTCCGACTCCGACTCCGGGCAGAATTGTCGACTCCGACCGACTCCAACTCCCGACTCCGACTCCGCAGACCTAGCAGGTCTGCGGAGTCGACAGATTTTCGGTGACTCCGACTCCGACTCCGGCTCGGGTTTCTAAAATCGACTCCGACTCCGACTCCGACTCCGGTCACAACTGTCGACTCCGACTCCGACTCCGCAGCCCTGCTTGTCAGGTACCGATTCTGTTGCCAGAATCGAGTGACAGCAGCCGGTCTGATTCAGATTCTCCTACCACCTCTGCTGAGACCTCTCCGTCTGTCACCGGGTGGTCCCAGACGGGCCGGGACCGCCGTCTTTTTCGGCGAGTGCCGCCGTCCGATTCCCACGCTCCCTATGTCCCCATGCATGTGAATGAGCGGTTGATGCGACCTGCCGACGGCTGGTAGTGGCGGGGGAGCGCCGGGGACTCGGGCCATGCCGCTCTCGGAGATAGCGGGCGGTGTCGTCCTTATACCGACGAGTTACTGAACGTGATTCCAGAGCAGATGTGAAGCTAGATACTTCGGGTGATGAGTTGTCTTGATAACTACATGCTGAGGGGAATTGGGCTCTCATGCCGTTCAGAGGTATTCTTTTGTTTATTTATCACGTCTAGACTTTAATTAGATAAAGCTTATGGAAGCAGCTTCTCCGAGACCGCATTTGCAAGATGAATCCTATGCTCCAATCTGTTTTACATAAAGTGAGTGAAAATGCTGAAGACAATGCTGCCTCCAGCGCGCTCAGAAGCTCTCAGCTGAAGGGGTAGGTAGTGGCTGAATACGCCGTGCGCGCATAAGTCTTCATTGAGTTCACAAATTTAGAAACGTTATTGGACTGTCGCACATGCTTATATGTCATCACTAATATTCGTTTTATTAACGTATGAGGTCAGAGGTTTCGCCCGTCTAAAATGGCTGTTCAGCTTATGGCTGAAGACCGGCTGTTAAAATCTACCAAATGGACTTATCGACGTGGTTCGGCGAGGCCTCAATCTCATATCCTAATAGAGCTCGCCAAGACCGCCAAATATCAGACCTCCAGATATGGCGTTTTGGCTCTGCCCTCACCAAATTACTATCGTGACAGCTTCGGATGCCCCACGGCTATTTATGGTTTTGACGTTGTTTATTTTAACGACTCCGCTAGCTCGTACAATGGCGAGTTGGGCCGTCTTCAGGTACGTGTCGTGCCCCGGGGCCATCCCTCACAGTGTCGGCTTATGACAGACTAATTTTGCCGTGCGTTGTGTAGGTGACTAATGAATGGCATCGCTGTTTGCCTACGGCTGATGTGTTTCAGATAGGGTGATAAGTTCGACGCCTGTCAATTTTAACACTTTTCTGGAGTTGAAAAAAATTGACTATGTTATTCGATTATGTCGAATAAATAAACTACACATAGAAACATTCTGCTACCTACTCATTTCTATCCTAAAACATATACTTTGTTGGATGAGGATATCTGGGCCAGAATTCATTAGAAATTAAGGCTAGCTTATTCGTATACTTACTTCCTTCCTACTTTATACTTAAATATTTGCAATTAATACATACTTTACGGTGCGTTCACTGGAGATTAACCGTGCATTAATTCGAAGGTAGCCGTGCACCAATTTAAATTGGTGCACGCGCGTGCAGTGATGACTTTCTCGACTGAAGTTTTTCGGAAGGGTCATTGACTTTATTCTAAGATTTCCCATAAAGGGCCCTTTTTAGTGGCATGGACTAGGTTTAATTTTCATTTAAATTCGCACCGTTAAGCATGTATTAATTAGTTTAACACATGGTTTCCGTGCATAAATGGTTTTAACGCACTCGTGGATGGAATGGAGCACTTGTGCGTTAATGCACTCGTTTCACTCGTGCATTAACACACTCGTGCTCCAATCCATCCACGTCGTGCATTAAAACCATTTACACACGGGAAACCATGTGTTAATATATAGTATAATCCAATCCACTAAAAGAAACTCGAAGGGAGTTCGAAGCTGACTACATTAACGGAACTTTTTCGTTTCTCGGTTGGATCCAGCCAATGGCGGTGAAATATCGAATAATGTATTGGCATACCTTATATTTTGTTGATATTAACATCAAAGCTGCGTGGACGATGTGAAGCTGACTTTACGTAACGATTCTCTGGCACAGTGGACGTTTATGGCATCTATGGATCCTCTAACATTCTAACGAAGGGAATGCATATGCTAACACACAATACACACTCCATTCAGATATGTTTCAGTCGAAGCTTTATCTAAATTCCTCACATTCCACTTATTTTCACCTTCCCGCTGTTGGCAGTTCCGCGACACCGAGCTCCAGTCATTTCCCTTGTGGCACTGGCTTCGACTTCACCTGTCTGCCATCATGAATAAACTTTAGTGACATCGATTGGTACGACCGACTGCCTGGTGCGGCTATACCCCAGGCCGTTACCATTTCCCTGTCGATGCCCAATGGAAGCATGAAGAACCATAACCACTGACCGAGACTGGACTGGCGCGGGTCTCCGCTAAATTCCGGCAGCAGGCCGATTGTGTAACCGTAGCGTGGTCACAGGCTGGTGCAGTTCCTGGAACAAGTAATGCCAGGGCTGTTAGAGCGTGTCTGATGCGTCTGGTCATGTCTGATAGGGCGGTCTTCGCGCTGCCGCCGTGTCAAATTGTGACAGACAGTGTGGTCAGGGTACCGTACGCCTGCTGGTGTGATCTGGTGAAATTCGCCTGAAGTCGGCTGCACTAGCGGCATTTATCGGTTACTCAATGAGAAATAAAGATTCAGTAGGTATTCGGTATGGTTAGAATATGTAACTATGTTAAGGTCTCGGTGCGTTTCCTCTCCCTTTCTCTCTCTTTTACTCCCTAACCCCTCCATTCTTCCCCTCCTCTCTCTCTCTCTCTCTCTCTCTCTCTCTCTCTCTCTCTCTCTCTCTCTCTCTCTCTCTCTCTCTCTCTCTCTCTCTTTCTCTCTCTCTCTCTCTCTTTCTCTCTCTCTCTCTTTCTCTCTCTCTCCCTCTCACTTCCTCTCCATCTCCCCCTCCACCCCATCTCTTCTACTCTCTTCACTCCGTTATCTGCAGTGTCCGGTGACAGTGGCCTCCGGCGCGGTGTGACGGCCGAAATACGGCCGGCTCAGCTGGAGTTAACTGGCCGCCGCCTGTCGCCGTATAATTATCATAGACTGCTCCGGACGGTGAGTCGTTCCTCCGCCACTCCCCCGCAGGCCGGAGCGGCGGTGGCTGGATTGGACCAGAGTACTGGCCTGAGGCGCCGCTTCGTCCGCTGATGCGGACAGGAGTCATGGCTCAGTCTCATGACTTCGTGAGAGAGGACCGTATCATGTCACGGTGAAAATCATGATGTCTGGAAGGAGGCTGTATCACTCCTTTGGAGATCATGATGTCCGAGAGGAGCCACAAATGGGCTGTCGCTGTCACGGCTGCCGTTAATCCAACGGTCGGGGTCGAAGTGGGATCGGGTTGTTTCCACAAAGTTTGCGCACTGGGATGCCGCCGGCACTGGTCTGCCGAGTTTCCTGGTCGGTTTGGAAAGCTCCCGAGCGTGAAGACACGGTACTTTTGCTGCGCCACAGCTCCGAGAGCAACTATCTTCCGAACAGGATGTTGCATTGTGTTCATCAGCCAACTAAGAGAAACATTTAGCATATCTCTGAGGGGCGGACTACAATGAGCGAAGCAGTGTTATCTGAGCGGTTCCAGGAGCACAGCTACTCTGTGCTCGGTGCCATTTCAGATTAGCTCGCTCCGATCAGACTGAGGAAGTCTGGTCTGGACTTCTTGTGAACAGACAAGTGAAGTCTGCTGGAAACGATAGTCGCGAATCCCTGGAACGTATACTGGTACCCGGACACTGGCGCCGCGATGTCGGCAGCGGAGGCGGCAGGTGCAGCGACTGCGTGTGTGGGGTCACCTGCCAGCTGGCCGGCCCTGAGGGAGCTGTTGTCGCCCTCTCATCGGGACCAGCCACCTGGCGCGCTCGTCTCCACCCGGTACCGGCGCTGTCGCCGCTGACACCAGCGCGACACGCCGGGACGAGATGTGAGCCGCTCTAATTAGACTCGCTGAGCGGCGCGCAGGTGGCGATGGCATCTCTCAGGGCCGCAGCTGGTGAGTGCCATGGAGCGGTTCGGGCACTTCCAGCCTGACTGTCATTCCAGACGGTCCAGCCAGACTACTCACGACTACACTTGAGCCGTC